TAAGAATTGAAAACTTCCTAACCTGTAGAAGGAAACAGACAGCCAGGTCCAGGAAGCATAAAGAGTCCTGAATAAGATAAACCCAAAGAGATCCGCATCAAGACACACAATAATTAAAATATCAAAAATTAAAGATGAAAAATAATCATAGAGGTAGCAAGTTATATAAAAGGGAAATGTGGTAAGGCTGATCTTTCAGCAGAAACTTTGCAAGCCAGAAGCGAGTGGCATGATATAATCTAAGTGATGAAAGGAAGAAAACTAGAGCCAAGAATACTCTATTCAGCAAGGTTGTCATTCACCATAGAAGGAAGGAGAAAAGAGTTTCCCAGACAAATGAAAGTTAAGCTCATCACAACTCAACTGGCCTTATAAGAGATGTTAAAGGGACTTTTTTAAGAAGAAAAGACAGGCCATAATGAGAACGAAGAAAATTACTAATGAAAAATTTCAGTGGTAAAAGCAAACATATGGTAAAGGTAGTCAATCAGTCATTTATAAAACTAGTATGAAGATCAAGAGATGAAAGTAGTAAAATCAGTTATATCTAGAATAATTAATTAATGTATATACAAATTAAATTATAAACTGTGAAGTCAAATACATAAAATGTATTAGTAATAGTAAAATATAGCAATAGTAAAAATATAGTGCTTTTAGAATGTGTTAAAGTTAATTGAACATTAGCTTTAATAGACTTATATACATAGAGTGTTTTATGTGAACCTTATATGAACCATACACTGAAAACCTTTAATAGATACAAAACCTCTAAAGAGAAAAGAATCCAAACTTAGCACTCAAGAAAATCATAAAATCACAAGGGAGGAGAGTAAGAGAAGAAGAAAGGAACCAAGAAGAACTACAGAACAACTAGAAAATGGTTACATGCCAGTTGTTATATGCCAACAAATGGCAGTAAGTGCATCCCTATCAGTAATTACTTTTAATGTAAATGGACTTTCAGTTCCACTCAAAAGATAAAGGGTGACTGAATGAGGGGGGGGAAAATAAGACCCAGTTAGATGCTGTCTACCAGAGACTCACTTCAGACCTTAAGACACAGACAGACTGAAAGCGAAAGGCTAACAAAACACAGACTGTATGAATGGAAGTGAAAAAAAAAAAAAAAAAAAAGAAGATGATGACGACGAAGCTGGGGTAACAACACTCCTATCAGACAAAATAAACTTTCAAAGAAAGACTGTAACAGGAGACATAGATGGGCATTGCATAATGATGAAGGGATCAAGTCAAGAATATAATGGTTATCAATTTCCATGCACCAACGTAGGAGCACCTAAATATATAAAGCAAATTAACAGACATAAAAGTAGAAATTAACATAATAGGAGGGGATGTTAGCACCCCATTTACATCAGTGGAGAAATTATGCAGAAAAAAATTAATAAAGAAGGAAACAGTGGCTTGAATGACACATTAGACCAGACAGACCTAACAGATATATACACAGAGAAAATTTTAAAGATTGATGCAGAGAAATGAAAATGGAAATACAACAGTTCAAAATCTTTGCTACCCAGCAAAGGCAGTTAAAAGAAGCAAATTTCCAATGATACAGGCCTACCAAAAAAGAAAAAAACAAAAATCTCCAACAATCTAACCTTAGTCAAGAAAAAGAAGGACCAAGCCCAGTGTTAGTAGAGGGAAAGAAATAATCACACCAGAGTGGAAATAAATAAAATGGAGACTTAAAAAAAATAGTAGAAAAGATCAATGAAACTAAGAGCTAGTTTGTTGAAAAGCAGAACAAAATTGATATAGACCTTTAGCCAGACTCTTAACAAAAAAAGACAGGACTCCAAATTAGAAATGAAACAAAAGTTATAGCTGACACCACAGAAATACAAAGGGTTTAAAGTGATTCTTATGAAAAATTATATGCCAATAAATTGGGCAACCTAGAAGAGATGGATAAATTAGTAGAAACCTAGAATCTTCCAAGATGAAAGATGAAGAAATAGAAAATGTAAACAGACCAATTAGTAATAATAGAATTGAGTCAGTAATCAAATAATTCCCAATAAGTAAAAAAGTCCAGGACCAGATGGCTTCATAGGTTAATTTTACGAAATATTTAATACCTATTACTTAATAGGTATTAAATTTAAGATTTAATTGATTAACTCAAATTAAATGAAATAAATTTAATAATAGATTAATTTAAATCTAAAATAGATTTAATAATAGAAGATTTAATACCTATTCTTCTCGAACAGTTCCTAGAAAATTAAAGAGTAAGGATTGTTTCTAAATTCATTCTGTGAGACCAGCATGAGTGTAATTCCAAAACCAGACAGAAAGAAAATTATAGGCCAATATCTCTGATGAACACAGATGCAAAATTGGAACAAAACGTTAACAAACCAGATTCAAAGTACATTAAAAAGATCATTCCCCATGATCAAATAGGATTTATTCCATGGTGCAAGGGTGGTTTTATATCCACAGATCAGTCAGTGAGTGTGATACTGCACATTAACAAAATGAGGATAGAAATCATATGATCATCTCCATAGATTCAGAAAAAGCATTTAACGAATTACAACATCCATTCATTCTCAACAGAATGGATATAGAGGGATTGTACCTCCACACAGTAAAGTCCATAAACGCATAGCTAGCTTCATACTTAATGGTGAAAATTTGCAAGCTTTTCCTCTACGATCAGGAGCAAGACTAGGATGTCCACTCTTACCCTTTTTAATCAACTCAGTACTGGAAGTGTTAACCCTAGCAGTCAGAAAAGAAAAATAAAAGGCATCCAAATTGGCAAGGAAGAAGTAAAGCTGTCACTTTTTGTAGGTGAGTGATACTATATATAGAAAACCCTAGAACTTGACCAAGAAAATTAGTAGAAGTAATAAATGAATTTACTAAATTTGCAGGATACAAAAGTAACATACAGAAATCTATTGCTTTTCTAGGCACTTATAAGAAACTATCAGAAAGAGAAATTAAGATTTGCAATTGATTCAAAAAGAATAAATTGATTCAAAAAGAATAAATTTAACCTAGGAACTGAAAACCTGCACTCTGAAAACTGTAAGACACTGAGGAAAGAAATAAAAAGCGATACAAATAATTGGAAAGATACAACGTGTTCATGGGTTAGAAGAATTAATGTTAAAATGTCCAGACTACCCGAAGCAATCTGCAGATTCATTGCAAACCCTATCAAAATATCAATAATTTTTTCATAAAACTAAAATTTGTATGGAACCACAGAAGACCCTGAATAGCAAACGCAACCTTGAGAAAGAAAAACAAAGCAGGTAGTATTACAATTCCAGATTTCAAGATACAGTGGCAAGCTGTGGTCATCAAAACAGTCTGGTGCTGGCACAAAAATTGACACACAGATCAATGGAACAGAACAGGTAGCCCAGAAGTAAACCAATGCTTATTTTGTCATTTCATCTACAATAGAGTATGCTAGAATATACAATAGGGAAAGAGAGTTTCTTCAGTCATTTGTGTTGGGAAAACCGTGCAACTACTGCAAAAGAATGAAACTGGGCCACTTTTTTTTTTTTTTAAACATCATACACAAAAATAAACTTGAACTGAAATAAATATCTAAATATAAGACCTGAAATGATAAAACCCCTCAAAGAATTAGGACAATGGTTTCAGCAGTACTTTTTGGATCTCTCTTCTGAGTCAAGGGCAACAAAAGCCAAAACAAACAACTGAAACTGCATCAAACTAAAATGCTTTTACAGAGGAAACAATCAACAAAACAAAAAGACATACTGAATGAGAGAAGATATTTGCAAATGACATATCTGATAAAGGGTTAATACCCAACATATACAAAGAACTCCTATAACTTAATGCTAACCACCCCCCCCAATAATCTGAAATAAAAAAAGGCAGATGGCTCGAATAGACATTTTTCCAAAAACCTACAGAAAGTAAGTCACAGGGGTATAAAATACAGCATAGCAGATATAGTCAATAATATTGTAATAAATTGTATCATAACAGGGTAGTTACATTTATGTGGTGAACATTTCATAGTGCATGTAAGTATTGAGTAACTATGTTGTACACCTGAAATTAATGTTATACTGTATGTCAACTATTTTTCAATAAAAAACAAATACTCTTTTAAAAATAAAATACTTCTGAATAAATTTAAAATGTACAAGATGTTTTCACAGAAAGTCACAAAAGATTGCATTGGGAAATTAAAGACTTAAATAAATGGAGACTATACCATGTTCATGGAGTGGAAAATTTAATTTCAGATAGTAATCTATCCCAAATTGACAATTCCACTCAAAATTTTAACAGACTTTAAGAAGCACACATTGCTTTAAAAATTTATATGGAAATGAATGATTCTTGATCTGATAATACAAATTTCACCCAGTGCTCCTGAGATTTACTGGTTTACCCACAAACTATGACTTTTTTTTTTTTTTTTTTTAACCTATCTGTGATTTGGTTCTGGAACACTGAAAAGAAATTTAAAAAAAAAAAAAAAACAGTAAAAGGCTTTGACTTTGAAAACCTTCTCTTGGAACTGCCATTGGACCACAGTACATCTTGACTATACCAATGATAAACTTAACAATGGCTAAACAAAAAAGTCTTAAGGGGCAGCAAGCTCTAGGAAGTCAATTTACTTTATAGGTAAGATGTGGATAGGCAATAAAATTTAACTGTACTTTTAAAGGGTTTTAACCTTTATAGGGTTTCTTATAATCTTATAAAGGTTTCTTATGATCCTTTCCTTCTTTTTTCTTATATACTTAAATAAATGCTCCTACAATTGTAAGGTCTATAATGTTAAGTGCTTTTGGGAATAATTTCACCTTTGAATTAGTGTGGGAGGAGGATATGTTTACCACGTATAGGTGTGTGTGATCCTGGAGTAGATTTTATTTGTGTTGATGTCATATTTTACGAAAGGGAAATATTTGAATCATTTACCATTCTTTATTAATGGCAAACTGTACTTGTTTTTATAGGGAAGAGTGGACAGAAGCCATTCAAGCTGTAGCAGACAGACTTCAGAGACAAGAAGAGGAGAGAATGAATTGTAGTCCAACTTCACAAATTGATAATATAGGGGAGGAAGAGATGGATGCTTCCACAACCCATCATAAAAGAAAGGTAGAGAATAGTAATGTATTCCCTCCTCAGCGCACAGTATATGTATCTGGAAGAAATACACTAAAATAGCCATTTGCAAGAAGTGTTGGCCGAGATGATTTTATGTTATGCAAATATGTAGGTGTGGGTGGTGTTCATCCTGGTAAATCTGAAATACCTGTCATTGTTTAAGACCAAGTAATTTAGATGTCACCTCATTTTCATGGGTTGGCACTTAACACTGCTGATCAGGCTTCGGGCAAACTTGTTGAGTGAAGCGCCATTGTGCTGATTTAAAATTTGCATTTTTCTCTTATTGTTTTTCATACCATTTTAGAACTTGGAAATAATGTTTTCCCTAATGATCTGGTCATTTTCCATTTGGTATTTTGTATGCTCAAAGCAGAGGAGACATGGTTCTGGTTCCTGCCTGATGCCCCAGCCTCACTAATAGCTTTTTATTTTAACGGCTGCTCCTGAGCCAGTGTGGGAAAGGAGTTTTCCTTCCCTGAGTCTTCGAGATTAATAAATGCCAGTTTATAGATTGATGGACTTGTTAATTATGATTTTCGTTGTTATAGAAAATAAAAAGCTGGGTGCCTGTGTGGCTCAGTCGCTTAAGCATCTGACTGTTGATTCTGGCTCAGGTCATGATCTCAGGGTCCTGGGGTCAAGCCCCACATTGAGCTCTGTGCTCTGGGGAGTCTGTCTTAGAGTCTCTCTCCCTTTGCCACTCCCCCCACTCACTCTCTCTCTAAAATAAATAAATAAATCTTTAAAAAAACAAAAGAAAATTAGGGGTGCCTGGTGACTCAGTCATTAAGGGTCTTCCTTCTGCTTAAGTCATGATCCTGGGGTCTTGAGATCGAGCCCTGCATCAGGCTCCCTGCTTGGCGGGGAGCCTGCTTCTCCCTCTCCAACCCCCCTGCTTGTGTTCCTCCTCTCACCGTCTTTCTATCCAATAATAAATAAAATCTTTAAAAAAAAATTAAAAAACAACTTCCTTGTATGAAAATGATATTTTAAGATTAGAGGCATCTGGGTGGCTCAGTGGGTTAAAGCCTCTGCCTTTGGCTCAGGTCATGATCTCAGGGTCCTAGGATCCAGCCCCATATCGGGCTCTCTGCTCAGCGGGGGGCCTGCTTCCCCCCCCACCCCCGCCTGCCTCTCTGCCTACTTGTGATCTCTGTCTATAAATAAATAAATAAAATCTTAAAAAAAATTAAAAAACAACTTCCTTGTATGAAAATGATATTTTAAGATTAAAGATCTAAGTGTTCAAATTAAATGAACATGCCATTTATCATGTTAGATTATATTTGTTATAGTGAATTGTAAATTTAATCTCCATGTAGGAAAACACCAATTTCTAATGTAATTACCCATGTGATTTGGTCTTAACATAGTGAATAAGAACTCTTCGGAGTTAGACTGCTTGAGTTCAAATCCTCCTTTTTCCACGTCTAAATGTATGAATGAAGTTAATTTCTCTCTCCTTATCTGAAATTTCTGTTCTAATTATAATAGTCTTTACTTGATCTTGGTCAAATATCTGAGAACTCTTTGTGTCTTCATTAAAGACTTACCTCTGTTAGTTGAAATGAGTCCCTCTTTTAAGTCAGCTTAATGCCCCCTTGTTCTTTAGTCATTGCAAAGAAATAAAAATAAAGAAACGGTCTAGATTTACTCACCTACTCAGAGGTAAGGAAGCTTCTTTTGGATGTGTATGTGCACTTGTAGATTGTGGCTCTGCTCATAAATTTAAAATCAGGTACCAATTAATCTTGTCCTTTGAATTCCGTACTACCCCATCTAGTAACAAGCTGTAGCACTATACCTCCTTTAGCTGAAATTCCTAAAACAACTGCTGTTGAGGTGGTTACAGGTTGGAAGTGGGGAGTTTATAATACCCTAACTAGAAATACTCTTGCTGATTGATGAGAGGATTTAGAAATGAATATGGGAATTTTTTACCAAAAAATTTTGAATGAAAAGAGACATTTTCAAAGATGTAAAAATCAAAAGCATGGAGGATTTTATTTTATCTTTTTTTCTTTAAGGCTGGTTATAAATCATGTTAAAAAAGCACAGAGCAATTTCCTCCTTTCACAGTTACTAGTGTGGAATATCTTCGAATTCATCACCTTCACTAATTATCACTTGTAAACGTTTATTTTAAGTTTATTTGGTGCTGTGCTCTTGATAGCACTGTTATATATATTATCTGATTTAATCTCTCAAAAATCAGGTGAGCCTGATTATCCCATTTTGTAGGTGATTCATCTGACATTCAGAAAAGTTAAAATCTTATTCAAACATGTAAGGACTTTTAATTTTATACCGTCTAACTTCAATGTGCACCTTATTTCTTATTATTGATTGATATCTCATGAGCCTTTATAATCAGTATAATTATTAGACTCATTACATGACCAAGTTATATTGGAGAACAAAATTATACAGACATTCTCTCTTATGATTGTACTTGGTTTCTCAAAATATTTATGTCAAGCTGTTGTGCATACTCTGTTTCAGTTAATTTCATTATATATTGATATACTCTTGGGAAAATCAGTAGAATTTTAATATTACAGAGTAATGATAGAAAGTAGGGTTTTTAAAGCAGATTCTCTAAGAAATCTCACTGAAACTGGGTCTCAGAAATTAAAAATTGATATGAATGGTATTTTGAAAATAGGGCGATTCGTTGTCTTATTTGACCTATATCTGATTTCTATTGTTTATTATTATTTCATTTCATTTTTTAAAAACATTTTTAAAGATTTCATTAATTAATTAATTTATTGAGAGAGAGGGCAGTGGGGGCACGTAAGCAGGAGAAGAGGGAAAGGGAGAGTCCCAGGCAGACTCCCTGCTGAGCCTGGAGCCTGACTCAGGGCTCGATCTCAGGACCCTGAGAGCATGACCTGACCTGGAATCCAGAGTCGGACACTCAACCAACTGGGCCTCCCAGGCAGCCCTATTTCATTTCATTTTAAATGAGATAGTATAAAAACTGTTTTAAATGACAAAGAATGTAGAAAAAGTTCAAACCTCTGTACCACTCTTTTGTGATGGTCCTAACAACTTCGTTAAAGAAGGTAAAAGAGTGCTATCACCTCCCTAGTTCCCTAGTACTACATCCTCTATGTGTATCAGGTTTCATAAAAAGAATGACTAAAGTCGTTTATTTTTCATCTCAAACACTGTAAACAGATATTCTGAAATAAGAATGCCTTTCTCATAGTTTACAGCATACATTTTCTTCTTTGTTCACTTTTTGAAAAATGAGCGATGGGAGGAGGGGAAGGGCTACTGCTTGTGTTCGCTCCGCTGAGAACCGTCGGAGTTGTTTTGTCTCGCCTCCAGCACACAGCCGGCGACCGCTGTTAGTGGGAGCGGGTCACCCAGTATCCGCAGCACAGGTGAAACATCTTTTAAGGAAACACACCGAGTGGTGGAAAAGGGTCAGAGGCCTCATAATGAGATTTATGCTCTGGTCTGTGTTTCAACCAAAAGACGATCTTTAAAGGAATTTGATGAGAGGACTCAGAAGGGCCTAATCTTGGTCTGCCGAGCGGCCGTTCTCCGTAGAGTCAACTATGTGAAGGGCACAGCGTACAAGATCAACAGTCAAGTGCGAGTCAACATTCTGCCTAATTTTTAAGTGCCCAGCGCGGGCCTCTCTGAGGGCAGCTGTTTGTGGTCTCCTGACTTGGTGTCAAGTCTGAGCAGTACATGCCATCTTCCCATTGTGTCTGCCTCTGGTCTTTGGAGTTTTGTTACTTAATGGCTGGCACTTGGAGAAAAGGTGAAGAAGTTTCACAGGGACCTGCAGAACCCTCGATCTCCTTGCCTAGTCAGGGAAGGAGCCGCAGATCCGTGGCTCCTTGTTGGACAAAGAGGTGAATTTCTTGAGAGCCTCCCTTTTTAGCTCTTGGTTTAGCTCTTAGCGTTGTAAATTGTGGGTTTATCTTCTTTGACCAAACGTGCTGAGAGGTTTCTTGTGTTCATCTTCAATTATATATTCATATTCTTTGACCTACGTTTTGGACTACATAATTAGCCTTCTTCTTATACTCTAGTGTGTATTTGAATACATTTACTAAGCATTTGTTGTGTATGTCCGTGCATCTCTTAACCGAAAACAGCCACATCAACACGCTGGAGATGATGTGAAGGAAAGACTAGAACTGTGTTAAATATTTACATAATAAATTTGAGGGATTGGGTTTTAGAGGATTGATTTTTCTGCAGAGGATCCATGCTGTCATCTTTTATTAAAGTCTTACCGTTATTTTTTCCCCTTAACACCATCTAAAAGAGGGAAACGTTTTGTAATGGGTTATATTTCGTTAGTAAAGACTAGATAATTACTGTGTGTACCATGCTGAACGTGAGCATTTGGTATCAAAGATACTTTTAAAATTTTCTTAAGTTTTGTCAAAATAGGTATGAAATCTGTTTCTGATTTTTTTTCACATAGGTTGCTTTTACTAATATTAATTTCCATACAAATTCCCTTTTTTTTAAGGTTGGCAGTCAAACTGATAGAAGCTGTGAAATTTAGGGATAAGGCTATTATATTTTTGTAAAACTACCTTTTCTCTAAGAATTGCAATCCTTAAGGAATCTAGTAATATTTTATAATTACATATTGCTTTTCATCTGAAAATGTCATAAAGCAATTTATAAATTCCTTTCTGATTTTTATCTCTAAGAATTTGGTTTCCAATTATATGATATTTAATATTATATGACATTTAATAATAGGACACAGCAAGTATCATTTTTCAGTGCATTTAGATACAAATTGAGGAGGGTACTGTTCAAATAAATCTTTGAGCCAAAAATAACATCAGAGCCTCGTTACAAGAATAATGTCTCTTAGTTCACTATTGCCATGGAACAAACTACCAAGTTTAACGTCTTAGAACAGTAATAGTACCTTACTTCTCATGATTTTGTGGTTTGTGTGGCCACTTCTACTGGTCTCGCATGGGTCTCTCAAGCGGTTGCGTTCGTTAGCATACAGGCTGGCCTGGAAGAGCCAAGAAATCCTTTCTCATGCGTCTGGATTCTTGGTTCTCCTCCATGTGATCTCTTGGCGTATGGTGTCTCATCACCCAAGCCCTTTGTACATGGTATCTTTCATTACAGCATGAAGGCTGGCTTTCAGTTATGACTTCTCCAAGGGGTGAATGCATAAGCTTCCAGATTTAAAGGCTGGACCTGGAACTGGCATAGTATCACTTTGGTCATATTCTGTGTTCAAAGCAGGACACAAGGGTAGCCCAGGGAAAGGAAGAGCCTACCTCTTCAGGGGAAGAATGGCATGTGCGTAGGAGTCAAAGGACTAGTGGCCACCATCGTTGGAGACTACCTTGCACAGATAACTTTGTGGTTATTTAGTATCCCTTGGTTTTCAGAAATGTTAATGCAAACAAAATTTCTTAATACTATCAACTATTCAAATGACAGTAACCTTGTTAACTCTATTCTGAATATTTAGTACCATGTTTGATTTTGAGTTGAATTAATAAATGTACCTTTTTATTTTCCCTGATACCTTTTGCTACTTTTGAACTGAAGATATTATTGAACGGTTAAGATATTGTAACTTGACATTTGGAAAAATTTTCAAAATTATAGGCAGCAGATATTGTTGAAAATGAATATAAGCATTGGTAAATTTTTTAAAATTTTTACAAATATGTGTATGAAGAATATTGGTCTGTAGTTTTCTTGTAATGTTTTTGTCTGATTTTGATAACCAGGGTAATAATGGTTCTCTTTTTCTCAACTTTCTGTAGGAATTTATGTAGAATTGGTATCATTTCTTCTTTAAATGTGTATAAAATTCAGCTGTGAAAGCACCTGGCTTTAGAGTTTTCCTTGTTGAGTTTTTTTTACCACAAATTCAATTTTCTTACTAGACATAGGGCTATTCAAGTTACCTATTTCTGTTTGAGTGAGCTTTGATAGTGTGAGGTTTTCAGGAAATTTATTCATTTCATGTATCTTGTTGATTTCATGGGCATAAAGCTGCTTATAATATTCCCATGTGATCCTCTTAATGTCTGTAGAGTTTGGAGTGATGTCAGCTCTTTTATTCGTAACATTAGTCATTTGTGTCTTCCGTCTTTATTTTCCTGAGCAATCTGGCTAGAGGTTTATCAATTCTATTGATCTTCTAATATGATATCCTCTACTTTTTTCCTTTAAAATTTTTTAAAATTGATTTCTGCCCTGATCTTTATTATTTCATTTCTTCTCTTCAGCTTATTGTGCTCTCGTTCAATTTCTTAATGTTGGAAGTGAGATCATTGATTTGAGACATTCTTGATTCAGATGGGTGGTAAACAGGAAAAAAATACAGTTATAAAATGGCAGAAAAGTCTTCACTAACTACTGATCATCTATAGGATAAAACCCAGGTTCTTAACTTGTTATTCATGAAGATCTCTGAACTGAATTTAAATTTAAGATGATAAACTGAGCATACCCAGTTATCTCCCCTTCCACTTAAAAGCCCATTAAAATGGTAGTAAGGGCACAAAAAAAGAGACAAGTCCACACAAATAAAAAGCCGGGTGGGGGAAAGGCATTAGTGGACAACCAATATCAAAATTACAGAAATTTGTGGAAGAACCTTCATAAAACAGGAAAAGCATGCATAAAGGGGGCTGTAGAGAGCAAGTAGCAGGTCTGCTTAGCAAAATCCTGGGAATCAGCTCACTTAAGAGTGAGAAATGAAGCTGAACAGGCTGATTAATTAAAGACATTCTTAGATGTCTCTGACTTTCTATTCTGAATTGCACCAACTTGTTTCTCAGATGTTGTACTGCTTCTTCTTAGATTTCTTCTTACTGGGCTCCAGGGTTATTTCCAGCGTTTTTTATACACCTGTCTTTCACTTCCTAGGAGTTCATCCTAATTTTGTTAAAGTACATTCTCGAATAGCTTCCCTGAAGGGTACTGCTCCCTTAGATGTATTTAGAAATGTTTATGGGGGACATTTTCGATGGCCATGTTGTTTGGGGATAGTGGCCCTACTAAACCCTGAAAAACTTGGGTCCTTGGAAAACAGTGTGGCAGTTCCTCAAAACATTAAAAATAGAATTACCATATGACCCAGTAATTCCACTATTGGGTACTTACCTAAAGACACAAAAACACCAATTTGAAAATGTACGTGCATATTCCTATGTTTATTGCAGCGTGATTTATAAGAGGCAGGATTTGAAGGCAACCCAAGTGTTCACTGACAGGTGAATGGGTGAGGAGAGCTGATACATACACACAACGGAATGTCACTCAGCCCAAAAAAAGAACAAACCTCTGCCATTTGCAATGACATGGATGGAGCTAGAGAGTATGATACTGTTTGAAATATCAGTCAGAGAAAGACAAATACCATACGATTTCACTCATATGTGGAATTTAAGTAACAAAACAAATGAACAGAGGAAAAAGAAGACCCAAGAAACCAGACTTTTAAATACAGGGAACAAATTGATAGATGTCAGATGGGGTGCCTGGGTGACTCAGTGGGTTAAAGCCTCTGCCTTCAGCTCAGGTCATGATCTCAGGGTCCTGGGATCGAGCCCCACATCGGGCTCTCTGCTCAGCAGGGAGCCTGCTTCTTCCCTCTCTTTCTGCCTGCCTCTCTGCCTACTTGTGATCTCTGTCAAATAAATAAATAAAATCTTTTAAAAAAGAAAAATTGATAGACGTCAGAGAGAAGCCAGGTGGGATGGGTGGGTCAAAGAGATCAAGGTGATTAAGAGTACACTTATCTTGGTGAACACTGAGAAATATATAGAACTGTTGTATCATTATATTGTACACCTGAAACTAACACTGTGTATTAATTATACTTCAATAAAAGAAAGTGAGTCCTTGAAAGTGAATTAAAATGATTCTTTTTTTCCTTTTACCCCACACTTGACTGATAGCTTGATAGCTGAGGAATTTGAGGTTCAAAATTATTGTCTCCCATATCTGAAAACTGCTTAAGAGTATCCATGATTGCCGGTGAGGCAGCCATTGCCAACCAGATTCTTATTCATTTAAGTGTGTTTAGAAATCGGTAAAATTTGTTTTTGAGTAGATACTGCAAACATACACGTATATGTTTATAAATAAATTGCATCTGATATTTCATACCATATTTTTTAATTTGTATTTTTCAGACAATGAATGATTTTGACTATTTGAAACTACTAGGTAAAGGCACTTTTGGGAAAGTTATTTTGGTTCGAGAGAAGGCAAGTGGCAAATACTATGCTATGAAGATTCTGAAGAAAGAAGTTATTATTGCAAAGGTAATTGATTACTAGAGTTGATTACTGAATTTTTCCTTATGGTACGCACTCGTGTGTGTTCTTGCATACACAACTAAACTGTAGAAATTCCATTAAATAACCAAAATGTGGGTGGTAGGCTACTATTGCAGTAGTATCTGTGTATCAATATTTATTTATAATGTTAAAAATTTCACAAGTTTATGGGACGCCTGGGTGGCTCAGTTGGTTAAGCATCTGCCTTCGGCTCAGGTCATGATCCCAGCGTCCTGGGATTGAGTCCCACATC